ACTGTTTACCGGACTACTGATTTTGCTTTGCGATTTGTATCGGTGTTGATTCTTGGATAACAACTAGGCTTGATCTTGGACATTCTTGTTTAGTAAAGTGGTGTGTGCGTGACTGAAATGGAAACTTGCATTACATGTCACGTTTCAGTTCGAAACAGAAGACGTTATTCTCTCTCACAAGAAGTTCTTGATGCTAATCCATTTTTAATGGATTATATTGGTGACCGCGTGGATCCTAATCCTATATTTGAAAATAGAAGAAACTACATCTGTCGCCCTTGCTGGCAAAGAGCTGAACGTGCTCAATCAAGAAACCAACCACAAGAATCGGCTCGTGATGAAATCTCGACAGATCAGGTCCCTGTTTCTATACCTAATTATTACCGTCTGCCAAACACTGCTTCACGTTGTTTGTTTCCGGAATGTGAATCAGAAACGCACTTGAGGATTCCACATCGCATTAAAACTAAAGTTTTTTGTGATCACAATATATACATACCTGACGAGGCTAGAATATGCCCAGAACATATACGATCAAACCATTGGGAGATATTAATTGGTTCGCCTATTTTATTAAATTCATTTACCATAGAACAAGTCACGGATGTATTTGAAATGGTTAAGAGATCTTTACAAAAGTCTGCACATTTTAATTTCGAAAATATCGAAAATATTGATGCTGATGAATTATTTTTCTGGACTGGAGTTACACCGGCGCAGTTTCAACAAATTATAGAAGAGACACCTTTATTGACTCAAAGGTGTAAACGACCTAAAGTTGCTCTGGGCATCTACCTTAGTAAGCTAAGAACGGGAGAGTCAAATACAAAACTGTCTGATCTTTTTAATATATCTCGACGCACCTTTGAGCGCTTATTAAAACAATCAAGAGAATGTTTAAGCAACGATTTTGTAACGCGTCACCTCGGAATTGACCATATTACGAGAGGAGAAGTAGAGAAGAGAAACCTTTTAATACCTAATGCTATTTTTGGGAATCCAGAATCTGAAGAAGATAGAAGATTAATCTTTATATTTGATGGCACGTACATTTATATACAAAAGAGTTCTAATTTTTCATTCCAACGTCTTACATACAGCTTACATAAGTTTCAAAACTTGCTAAAACCATTTATTATTACGTGTAGTGACGGATACATAATTGACGTAGTTGGACCTTTTGCGGCAACAACATCTGACTCAACTATTATGACACAATTAATGTCAGAAGACTCGGTATTTCATTGGTTTTTTAAAGCAGGGGATGTATTTATCTTGGACAGGGGTTTTAGGGATTCATTACCAGTTATTGAATCTTGTGGTTACACAGCTCATATGCCAGCGTCAAAGCAAAACAATGAAACGCAGCTCTCAACTAGTCAAGCAAACAAGTCGCGGCTTGTTACAATTTGTCGATGGGTAATTGAAGCCATTAACGGGTGTTTTAAAAGAGATTTTAAATTGTTACGGCAGAAGTATTTTAATAGGGCCGTACCACACATGTTCCAAGATTTTAAAAATGCCGCAGCCATTCTTAATGCTTTTCGGGAACCTTTTACCGATGGACCTTACGCAAATGATATATTAAATGAAATTCATTTGAAAATTAATGTAGACAACTTACTGGCCGACTACGTCATTAATAACAATTTAAATAGGCACCGTGTGAGCTTTGTTTCTATATCAGCTGATTATTTAACTATAAATGATTTTCCACAATTAGAAGAAAGAGATTTAATACTGTTTGCTTTAGGTAGTTATCAAATAAAGCTTGCTCGGTCGTATTGTAGCGAGCACTTACGAGATGGAGTGTACTTTATAGAAGTTATGGAAGATGAATCTATAGATATTCCGCAAATGCATGTAACTGGAGATTGCTATCTTTTGAGAGGACGTATTCAATCAAGACACACCAGAGCACGAGTATATTATGTATATATAGTAGTAAATAGGGAAGGCGTTGGAAGAGCGCGCATAATACAACACTATTGTACGTGCCTTACTGGTAGACGGACCTTGGGTTGCTGTGCTCACGTCATGTCGATTGTATGGTATTTAGGGTGGGCACGGCACCAAGGAGCTCTTAATCTTCCAGCATCATATTTAGATGAAGTGATAATAGACGAAGTAAATGAGTTTTGAAACAATATATTTTATTTTATTTCATATCTTTTATATTCCCTAAAAAATATTATAACAAGAAATACTGGACCAGATTCCAAAATTGTGTCATAATTCCACAGCTCACAGAACCCTTTTAAACTTAAGACACCATTTGGGTAATCATTTTTAACATACACACCACACAAACAAAATTCCAGACAGAAGTTCAAATATTAAGTATCTACATTAAAAAATAAACATTATTCAAGATATTTCGAAAACTTGATGACTTACGTATTGGTGCCCATAATATTTTTTGATCGTATTAATGATATCTATTGATTGAAAGTAGTTTTTGAAGTGGCCGCTCCCAGGTCCATTTTGCCCATTCTCCTTTAAATATGAAATCAAAACGTCGTAATTTGCAATAATAGGTACCTAAACACAGCACAGTTGTTGTTGTTCTCAACTCGACTGTGTTTTTTTTATTTATGTTACGCTATAACTCAGATATGTGTGAACCAATTTTGATGATAATTTTTTGTTGGAAAGGGGTACCTCAGAAGTGGTACCATTTATATTTGAAGAAAATATTCCACCTTTAAGGGTGGCAAAGAATAGAATAGAATAGAATAGAAGAATAGAAAAACATTTATTCATCGGTACATACAACACAATAACCAAAAATAGAAACACAATTACAAAAACAAGCAAAATAAAATACAGGAGGAAAATGTGAAAACCTAAAATTAAATAATAAGCTTATATATACAATGTGTTGTATGCAACCATGAAAAGGCCACGACTCAGCTTAATGCCAGTCAGAAGACTGGCGCTGTTCTTCCGTTGTATCCTTACGCATTCATGCGTCGACCGGGTCCCAAAATTAAATTCTACACAAGTAAATAAATGAGATTAAATGCAACTAGGGAATGAATGACTTTGGACTTTTTAAAATATAACTTTGACAAAATTCCACAACGATTAAGCTAGGCAGATTGATTGTTTTCATGCAGATTGATTCTTTTGTTAATAAATGTCACAAAATCACTTAAATAATATTTTATTGCAATATGGCAAAGAAAATAGAAAACTTTTTAATGTAGATAGATTCAGTAAGGATGTAGATTTTTCATATATTTTTTTAAATACGTAAAATCCGAAGTGTAATCCGTGTAAAAAAACCTAAATCACCATATTGGAACCCAAAGTAAATTTCTACGTCGAGGCGGGTGAAAAAGCCTTATGTAAAACCTGGGAAGTCTTATTCAAGTCTTATTAAAGATTGATGAAAGTGGCGATCATTCGTCGCTACCTATAAAAATATCTCAATGGGATTCTAAAGACGTGAGTCTATAAATGCTATCATCCCCGATTATTTAGGGCGAGGGATCATCCTTATTTGGCTGGCAGTGTTACACTATCGGCATTGTTTGTTTGCGTCAGATATATATTTACTTTTTGGTAAGTATTCGTTCAAATGGAAAATCACCGATCACAAAATTGCCTTGCAAGGAATTTACTAGCTATATGTATAAGCAGCTCTGTTATGGGTCTCTGGTATATAAACCAGCTAGGTTTATATACCAGAGACCCATAACAGAGCAGCTTATACATACCAGCCTAAAAGACGAGTTAGGTATCGTGTGGAGTCGTTACTTTTTATCAATTCAATTTCACAAACAAAAAAATTTTGAGTAACGTATGCAATGTATATGTATATACTCAATTAACTCTCTTACACCTGTGCCCAGATGTGTGATGTATAGGGCTTGATACGGATAAAATGCGGATTAAAAGATAATACGCTATATACGAAAAATTAATTAAAATGTCTTATAAGTACATACATACCCATTCAAATAAATAATACCTCAATACAATTTAGAGCAAAAATAGATAAGCTGTATGACGTTCCAGAATAGGTACCTGCCCCGATGGTAAACATTACTTCTAATTAAGTACGGTGGAGCTATCTATATGGAATAATAAAAAGTTAACGTTCTAGCGCCATCTGCACGAATGTTTAAAAACTATTCACTTTTCTATCGAGGTGGAGGTTTTTTATAGTGCTTGCCCATATAGTAAGTAGTTCAACGTACGATTCATAGATGGTGCTTTCGCCATTTAAATATAAATTCTTTAATTTTTTTATTTAATCTTTTTTCTTTTTCTTAGAAGTAACAACAATAATATATATATAATTTATTTACAACGTTTGAGTAAAAATAAAATTTGTAAATTTTTACTTCCATTTTTATATTTTCCAAATTTAGTATGGTTTTGTAAAAACACTTGACAACCCCAAAAATATGACAGATATAAAATCCATACTTTGGCTTACCGCGTAATTTGTGAAACATTTCAAGGTCAAACTTCCCAACCTTCTATCCAAGGGCGACCTTCGTTATGTCCTCGCTGTAAGGTCGGATTCTGGCCTCGGCCTCGGACGAGGCCGCGGCCTCGCTTCCTTTGCCTTGAGCGAGGTCGTTCGAATCGCGCAATTCGCGCAGTGATATGACGTATTTCCTACGTCAGAATTTCGCGTTTGTCTTGACGTAGGTTATGGCAACGCAGATAGCAACTCGCATTTGTATCGACTTCAATGTAATTATGTATACGTATTAAACGCATGTATAACTTCACTATGATAGCAAAATTGCAAGTTAGTAATTATATGAACAGTACAAGATTAGAATTTGCAGTCTGTTATTTCCTGTGCACTTCCTAGTGTTGAATAGGACCACTCATGGCGATCTTCGAAGCAACAAGTGGTGGTAAAGAAGAATTGTAAAGAGTATTGTATTGTATAAATGAACTGCTCTTCATTAATTAAGTACTTACGAGATTGACAATTTGTTTAACTTGATGTTTTAATGAAAACCACAACATGCGAAACATTGTATTTATTTTCAAAAATATAAAAAATAATAAACAATTTGATTAACAGTTTTTATAAATATGATTGCAATTATAACAATATCTTTGTCTTATTAATTACGCTTATTATGATTGGTAACAACATGTCAAAGAAACAGTAAATGGTGTTTCGAAAAATACATGATACCTTTACGTCTACTCTCATTGTGGCCGCACTGCCGTGCCCTCTGGGGGTACAATCATTTCTAAATGGATACCTAGACAGATCGTAGTGTTATAAAACCACAACAATATTAATTAATTTATCATTAAGGTAAGTAAGTAAGTATATAAAAACAACAAAACCATGGCACTTAAAGCAAATAAACACTTAAATCAAGGTTTTTAATTACCTTAAACTATGACTCCAGTTCAATTACATTATTTAATTGCAGGCGAATTATTAAAACAATACCACTGTTGAAAATTCTTCTAATAACATGAATTGATGCTGCCACTAAATATGACGCCAATAAAAATGACGGTAATAAATATGACGCCCATAAAATATGACACCAAAAAACCTACACGTATCAATCGGTTTAAAAGACTTCCTTTCTAAAGCTAAACCCAAACTGGTCGCATTTAACCCTTAGCACCCTGGCCAGTTGTGGCGGGCCGCAGTAAAACACTGTCACTTTGCCTTTGTTCTGTTCCTGTAACTGCTGGAAAACCTTGTCCCAATTCGGACGACCAGCGTTGGTGCGGGTCTTCAGACCCGTTATCAGATCTCGTTTCTCCTGTACACAAGTAAATAAAACTGAGGTGAAAATACAGTAAAATATTAGAGATATTAAATATTATAGTATATTATGAGAATGTTCTACATTACGACAAGTGACTAGGTTAATTTCAGAGTTTAATTTTACCTGGATTTCTAGTCCGGTATTTAGAGTACAGCGACTTCTCTAGACCTATATTAATAAACAGCTCCTAACTCTTCTAACTCTTATCGGAGTTACATGCGCCTGATGGTTAGCTACAGGCCTGTCCATAAAAGTTCCAGTGTCACTCAGAGCTTTAAATCGCAAAGATCTGTCCTGTCCATGCGCCCGTCACCCTGAGACATAAATTGACAAGTCCCACCCTTACATTCAAAATACTGGGTAATTCACTGATAAGGATTATTAAGCTAAGTGAAGGGTTCACGAAGAATCCGCCCCGCACCATATAGCATCCCTTTCTTGTACGTCTATCCTAGACGAGTACCTTATGGTGATTGGCCAATCCTTTCGCCACGATTGCAAGTAATACGATATGAAGAAGACTTAAGTGAATCTTAATATCTATCCTGCTCTTGAAATCAACTTATTAATGCGTGTCTTACGTAGTTTGAGACTAAGTAAGACGTGCATTAATCTTACCTTCTCATGCAACAAGTCCAATGCCAGCTGTAGCCCGACAGCCTTCATGTCCGTCCGCTGCAGCGCACTCGTGATGTACATGTGCATCTCTAGGAACCTCTCCAGGTCCCCTCCTAGTTCTGCCTGCTCGATCTCCAGCTGGGACAGAAGAGAGACGAACCACTCGAACGAGCGCTGCTCCCGGTTTATCCAGAAGAAATCAACCTGAAATACAATGTTGTAGAATGTGGACAGTAATAAAGAATTCTATGAACTGCACGACTTTCTGTTTCTAGAAATTATCTTATAACCGCTTAAAGACATCTTCTTCGTTGATGCTGAAGCTGAAATGCTGAACGCGTAATGACGTCATTCGCGAATTTACGTTGTATTATAACCACGTAGCGCGACTTTTTGAACGTATCCTGAGTGAGCTTACACTGAATTGACAATCTGACTTGGTCCTTTTCAGTGGCTGCTGTGTGCCGTATTGTGAGCGCTTAAGTGTCCCAAAAAGAAGGTCACGAGCCAAATAGATATCAGATACATCACAACTCGCCTTCTTCAAACTCATCCCATGCTGCGGTAGACTACTAGCCCAAGTGTGACTACACTTCGGGCAGACGTTCCTGGTGCTCCAGTATCGGTACATTATGGACTGCAAGATCGAGGCGAACGGCGTGACACCGATGCCGGCGGCTATTAACGCCGCGTGCTGTGCGCGGAAGATGTGCGATGAGGCCGCGCCGTACGGACCGTCTAGGAAGATCTGTTGACATGAAACACGCGTCGGGATTAGGGTTCCTGAAGTTAAAGGAAAGAGAAACAAACTTTTTTAAATTTGATTCCAATCTGTGTTTCGTAATAACCTCTGTCTCCAGACTCTTCTACAAGATGCTCATGATTATATTATATGGTTATATGGTTTCTTATTCCTAATTGGGGACAAAAATTAATTGGTTTTAATATCTTCTGTTTTTAGTAACATATAAGATAAACAGACATTTATGAAAAAATTTATAGCATAGAAATTAAAATAGTTATTGTCGCTAACGCGTACACATTGAATGTTTAGTCTATACTAAACATTCAATGTGGACGCCAACGCTAGTGTCGAGTTTCAGCTTTTATCATTGGTATACTTTCTGAGCTACTTCGTAAATTATCGTGTAGTCATTGTAATCATAATTCTTTTTAAAGAATAAAAGGAAAATTTTCTTTTATTCTTCAAAATTTATACATTTATACATTTTTGGGCAGGCAGCCCTATATTATACTGGTAAGTACATCAGAGTTACAAAGTCTTACCTCCAAAGGTTTCCCCACAGGGTAATTTGCGAACGACGAATCTGCAACGGAAGATTCCGAAGGGCTGATGATATTGAACGTTGGTCGCTCGATCTGATTCTCCACATCTTTGTCCGGCGATAAACTCTTAGAGAGACGTCTTCGAGCTGGAATGGATTTGTTGACAATCTGATAACGTACTTGCTGTATACTAAGCAAAAAGCTTATTTAACTAAACAAATAAGGCTGCCACGACAAAACACACAGCTACAAGAAGGAACTGAGACCGCCATTTATGTCCAATCGCAAGTTTAGATTTACCTTCATTTTTAATAATAATTAATTTATAACTTTATCGTACTATTCCCTTTTTTTTTAATTCACAGTGTACGAATTAATCTACATTCAAGTAATTTTGATCGCAGGTGCTTCTTTGAGGATATAAATATATGTCTTACCGATGGTCAAAATGCTTTCGTTGCTTCTTCGACGTTCGCAGTTTTCCATGCTGGGCGTCTTAAAGGCGATGATAGTTGGTTTGGTCCTCATGTACCTGAAGCTGTGAGCGAGCGATTTATTTTGTGGACTTTTGTAGGCCAATCCGAGGGCTTTGAGGTGAGCGCGACGCATCTCGCATTGGTCGAAACTGTTCTCCGACTCCGAGCGCATGTAGTCGCGGAGAGCCATCAACCGCTGTTTCTTCTTCAAGTTGTTGTGGACATCCGGCATGGAGCGAGACTTCTCTAGCAGACGAAGAGGGGAAAATGGTGCCAAAAGAGCTGCATTGCGCACGCGGGGAGAGGGTGATATCGCTTTAAACTCCTTTTCCTCTTCAATGCTAAAGGCTTCATTAGCAAATGCTACTGGGGAAAAATCGACGGAGCGTTTTTTAGCGTTACCGGTTGATCCTTTGCGTCTGCTTTTGTTGCTCTGATTTGAGCTGGTGCGAGCTACGATTTCATGACCGTTCTCCCCGCTTTGATGTGGTGTCACCTCGCCGGCATGTAACCTTGCTTGTTGTGCTTCAAAGTACGCGTACAGTCGATTTGTCCATTCGCCTACGCCGCGGATGTGCAGCCACAGGTAATCTTCCTGGTCAGGAGCGCTGCTAATAGTGAACGGATGCCACTCGTAAGTCGCGATAGCAGGAATATTAACGAACACGTAATCGCCGGCGTGGTAGTCAAACAGAGGCGGCCGTTTAATGACCAGGTGTGTCACGCGAGATGGCAGCAGAATCCCTGACGAGATGTACGTTTTGCCGCGCTCTGATCTCATCCAAGCAAGACGTAAGATCCTCTCGGCGATGTAAATGGATCCGGGCAGCACGAACCACTTCCAGAAGTTGGGCGCATGGAAAATCAACAGTAACCAAAACGGCACGTATAGGAGATGAGTCCAGTAGAATACCTGCAACGATGTGATGGATAAATATCTGAACTACAGTAGTTTAAATAATGATGCTCTAATGACTGCACGCTACATTGAAAACCACTTGTTCATGAGTCAGTTTCATAAACAGAGAACACCGCAGAGTAATAATATAGTTTAATAGGTTTTTACCTCAAAGCTCCCTCCTCTCCTGATAAAAGGCTGACTGCACACATACATAACCAGGAGAATGACCACCAGCGCCACGCCAGTCGGGTTGGCACAGCCCCCCACCAATCCAAACAGCCCCGGTCGCTCTGTTAGTAACCACTCGTAGATCGTGTAGTTGTTCTTGTTAATTTCTGGGTCATTGACTACTATTATACCTGTGAAAATAATTAAGAAGTTAATAAAAAGAAAGTTTTAGACTATCCGTACAGATTGGATTACTTAAATGTATAGTATAAGGTAAGTTATAGTATTGCATTTATTATAAATGTGTTTGGCAGAATTGTTTAAAAGCGAAAAAATATTTTTTGGAACAAAATTGATATTAACATTAGTTTTCATCAGAAAAGTAACTCCGGGAATCAAAACAATTGCTAACAAGTATATTAAAGTGCATCTCTATTAACGCAAATATCCATAGCCACTCTTCATTAGGTCGTCTGTCCATTAATTCGTAATAAACTCACAAAAGTTGCACAAGTGCATGGCAGTGTGCAACACGCTGTACCCGACGACCATGACGCCCGTCAGCTTGTGCAGGTAGATGTGGTGGTCGAGCGGCAGCACCGAGCTGAGGCCGCGCACGCGCAGTTGCGTGATGCACGAGCGCAGCATCAGCACCAGCACCCAGGCGCAGTTGAAGTTCAGGCACTGGCCTGGACGACACAGAAGCGCGAGTGTCGTCACTCGGCTGATAAGTGCAACATAGCTATTTTGCTCAAGACGAGGCTCAAGTCAAATCTTAATTAGGCCTAAATCACTGGAATTCGACGCGGATTCTCGATTTTATCTATCTGACTTGAATTTTAACATAGGTGAAAACTTTCAGATTACCTCAAAGTGTCTTCAAATGGTTCGTAAAGAAAAGACGGAGTTTAAACGCGATGAGAGTTTAAACTACGTATAACTAGTCTTCACATATATTTACAGAGGAATAAAGTGTAGAGTTGATAAAATAGTCAAACATTTGTACCAAATATCATAGTTAAACCATTCACTTACCACAAGCTCTAGCCAATATAACGAATCCATTGTAGTTCCTATACTCAATACATCTCGCGACGAACAAACCGATGTTGACGAGGAAGAATAGCAACAGATAGATAACAAAGACGTAGTTGTTCCTGAAGTAGGGCAAGGAGAGCTGATAGGGCTTCAGCTTAGAGAGTTTGTGGACGAATGAGGTGGGCTCAGGGTCTGGCTTCGGGGGGACCAGCCACCGGTCTATACTGTGGGGAAAAAAGAAAATTTGAAATTGTTTTAAGCATGGCCTTTGGGACAATGTATCATTGACTTTATTCGTTGTATTGTTCACAACATTGTACCTACCAATAAATGGACATAGTTATACAAACAAGAACCAACCCACTCCTCGAGTGAAATTGAGTTATGTATTTAGGTAGAATACCAGACGTGTCCTTTACCCGCTCACAAAAGATCCTAGCAATATACCAAGCCAAAACGGAGAAAATAAAAGTCTTTCAGGCTACCAACCCTAAATAAGTAACTTTTTAACAGCTAAAAAGAACCATGCTGATTAACTTCCTATAATGTATTTTTTAAATATGCTAAATGGATCCATGTCACATATACTGAAGTACTGTAGACCTTTAGCTTTTTTATTACGAAAACATACAAACATACATAATGTTTTCTATTTATTGCTATATTACATAATAGTTTCCCTGTGTCATGCTCAATGCTACACATAACTAACGTTGTTTGTCTCAAATAACTTACCTATTTATTTCTTCACACTGTTTTTACAAAAATCTAATTATCTCGAAAGTGACATTTTGTGGGTTGGTTTTAGTTTGCATAACTATGTCCAAATGTCGATCGTACAGCATAAATAAACTTAACTTGGACGCCACTTTCTGCTATTATTACCAAGCATACTAGAGATTTGATTCTGAGTCACAACTATAAAAAATCATTCAGAAAAGTAAAATACATTGGTCAACATTAGTTTTAACGATATTCTTCCAAAAAAGAGCTGTGAGGTGTTCATATTTACTAAAAACTATCTTCATTAAACCTAATGTTCATTAACAGAAACTGGAACCCACTTCTTTAATTGACGTTACCTAATAGACAAATTTTCAAGTAACCCTCCATGGTTATTTAACTGAGTCTTCAAAGCCTCATAAGTGATAGCTCCTCTTCGCTCCGTGTCAGCGTCTTCGAACATTGCCCCAGTCAGTTCCAAGAGCTGGTCATCGCTGAACTGCATGCCGTTTTCTTCCATGCATGCTCGCATCACATGCTGAAGTTCACGGTGTTGGATTAAACCGTCCCCTAAAAATCACGTACACTTTAGTTAGTTAGTTTAGTTAGTTAGTTGGTCTTTCAAACTGTCGTCTTGCCTGCCCGTGTTGAAATGATGTAAAAAATATCATTTCAAATACTTTCCCAAAATCATAATTGTTACAAAAATTAAAATATAGACGGTTTTAAAGGCAATGTTACAGATTAAGTATACTTCGGTAAATATTTCATACCTATGCATTATCCGTTGGTAAGACTTGGGTCGGCCGGCACGAGCATAAATTTCCTCGCTTGCGAGGCCCATTATGTTTATTTAAGCAAGTTGTATTTGGCCTAAGCCTGTCGCTTCGCGATCACTGTCCAACTTATAACAGCAGTGGACTAAATTATGGAAAGAAATATGGTGGAGGATGGGCTACTGGTAAATCATCCCACAGCATGTCCGTAGTATTATAGAGTAAGACTCACCATCTAAATCGTAAACTTTAAAGAGAAACCGGAGCTTATCATCGGGCGTCTGACCAGCAAATCTGTGGACGGCAGCGATGAACTCCTGCAGCGAGATAGTCCCGGAGTCATCTTCGTCGAAGATCTGGAATACGCGCTCTGTGAAGAACGGCTGGGGAAAAATAAAAAGTTTAAAAGGATTCCAGATATGGCGATAAACGATGTGTTAGGAGAGGTCAGGTTAGTCAAACATTTTTTTTTGCTTCTGACTGAATGTTCGCGGAATAAACTGGTGTGATACGGAAATACTGTTATGAGAGAACTCTGAGCTTGTTATTAAACGATATTTATGCCATATTCCCCATTATCAGAAATAGTGGAATTTCTATAAGCTCATGTGGACAAATGTCAACTGATGGTTGGCAGTGTTTGGTTTCGAAAACTATTAAAATAAACTAGCATTTTGTTGTATACACGTAGGTGGTTATTAGTTATTTGCATACTTAAATTAAAATGGTTTCTTTTGTCATTTATAGCCGACTTCAAAAAATGGAGGAGGTTCTCAATTCGACTTCATTTTGTATGTATGTCACGTGATTACTCGACTTGTGAACCGATTCAGATGACTCTTCTTTTGGTTGGAAAGGGGGTACCTCAGTATTGGTCCCATTTGAATTTTAAGAAAATATTCCACCTCTAAGGGTGGTAAACTAGGGGATGAATCCGGTTTCACACCTTTTCCAGTAACCGGTCTCAATAAAACTTGGCAAATAGATGTAATTCCACGAACTTTTGAGACCGGTTTTTTTTTTTTCAGTACTCTGTACTGAGATTATTGCATGAGGTGTTTATCTGTAATTAGCTTTGCATTAAAATTAAAACCACAACTTAATGTACCTAGTACATAAGTCGCAATATAATAGTTATTGGTAAACCAAATAAAAAAATGTTAACTAATAAAGTCCAAAATAACAAAAGGAAGCCTTGGAATTTGAAAAGATTTATGAAATTAATAAAACCAAGTTTTATTTTGAAAAGGAAGGCAAATGATACGACGTCGTACTTACATTCTTAGACACAACAATTCTCTGGAATTGTTCTCTTGTGATCTCTTGCTGGTCTCCCACTGTTCGCTTGAACAGATCCTCCAGCCAGTCCACGCTGTGCCGGTCGAAGCCAGCACGGGACCTGGACAGCATTAAGAGAAATCATTACCCTGATATATATTACAATAGCTTTTTTAAATCACGAATTCCTTCTACTGTTTTTCGAAGATGATTCTTTTCTCCAAATTTTTAATACGATTAGGGATGTGATTATAATATAACATAAAATATTCTTATTAACATTGAAAATAGAGAGCATGGAAATAATTTTAAGCCAGAAAAAGGGAGTTTTATGTTTATTTTGATAACAATTAATATAATTAATTTTAATTGAGTGTATATTTTTTTAACGAATTTTCGTGTTTCTCAAATGTATTAGCACGTTGGACTAATAAAGTACCGAGTTATATAAGGTAAGGCTTACATAAATCCGTTTGATCTTTGTTGGTTAATATTCTTAGATATTTGTTCTGATGGACAAAAATTTCTTGGTAATTACAGCAATTCCCCCACAGTGCAATCCCATAGTCCAGTCGTGAATGGGTAAATGCATAATAAGCTGAGAGAGCCGTTTTTTTTTTGGTTATTAACACGCTTTAATTGTCTAAGAGCATGTATGAAGACAAACAAAAAAAACTGCCTCGGTGGCCGAACGGTTACCACGCCGGACTGTCACGCAGAGGTCCCAGGTTCGATTCCCGGGCCGGGAGAAATATTTGTATGACCTACATTTATTTCTCTCGTGAGTTTGGGTGTCATTTGTGGTTGTGTATGTGTGTGTCCATGGCACCCGCGACACAGGGTTTCCCTAGTGCGGGGCTATGTTGAGTGTGTGCGTTATTATTATTATTATTATTATTATTATTATTAAACAATTCGAAAGGTTTTGAGTACAGAGTTTCCAATTAAATAGCGTGTTTGTATTGATACCCTAATGATTGATATTCCTTTAAAGCTTTAAATCGCAAAGATCTTATAGGGCACTGCCACTGCGCCCGTCACCTTGAGACGTAAGTTGACAAGTCACATGTGCCTGTAGTTTCAGTAGCACCCTTTTGTTTTGACACAGCTCTCATTACCGCTTGGCGGTAGAAATAGGTAAGGTAGCAGTACTTCCCTTGACGAACTCTTTTACAAGGAGTTCCAATAACTTTAGCCAGATGCTCTGTGTGCTACCGAAAAGTATTTATGAACACTACTACGTCACCAAATTCGCTCGCTAGAAAACTGCTTATTCTAGCTTGTAAGAACACTTTATACAAAAGTAATATATATGTATGTACGTGTTTTGTTTGTGTTTGTATGTAGTACTTATTTACCTACTACTAGTGATGGTGGAGAGAAACTCCATGACCTCGTCGGCCGTCGCAAATCCGTCGCCGTCTTTGTCCACCAGTCGGAACAGCTTATTTGTGACCTGAAATTTTCAACATAATGTCTGTAGTACATCGTCTGCACGTGTCGTCTCCCTAACTAGTCGTCGTAACCATTCAGCAGTAGGAAAATTTTCAGGGCATTTTATTTCAGCACTGGCACATTTCGGTCTCGTTCTATCAGTGCCTTATATTACATACAAAAAGGGTAGACTTATGATGATTAATGGAGAATGAACGCTATTCAAAGCTGAGAAAGATAGTACATACTATTCAGTTTACGACAAAAACGCCAGTTAGTGAACAGAGAGAAAATATAGCCAACATAATTTGCACCTCGGGCGAAACACAGACTGAACCGCAAAAAAATGTGATGTCAAATCGTTTAAAAATTCCAATTTATGGAAAACCAAGCACATATTAGGCATTCCTCCGTTTATCCATTTAAAAAGTCTTCAAATGTGCTCAGTAGCTTTAAACACTCAATCTTTTATTTTCTGTAAATTTTACAAATGTAAGATTGGTCAATGTTTAACCGTGGGTACGAATTCTAGGATTTTGTACAGATTTCAGATTCCTTCAAACTGGTGTAATGTTTACAAATGTTGTGTTACAATTCGGTAACGTGAAATGGTGCATTGATCAGGTTGTACTTTATAATTGTTTTTGAATTATTATGTGAGATGGCTGTTTCTGTTATTTCTGTATCTTAGTAACGGTAACTGACTTTTTCAAAATCAGTTACCGTTAAATTTGTTGCTTGATTTATATCAAAATGGCGTGGATTTGTTTTTCTTATTGGTTAGCCGTAACCGTAGGGCCTGTAAAGAGTCTGAAACGTCGGTTTGTTGGCAAAAAATTTGGCATTGTTTCATTTCCAGTGTGTAGCAATCGAGAAAACCTAAGAACTTGACTATTTTTAACAGTACTTTGGCTTTCTTTTATCTGATTATGTACTTCTTTTGTTACTTCTACATTAACATAGCTGTCAAATTTTGAGCCCATTATTACCCAGAAATAATAAGTAGCCATTCATATTCAAATTCAAAATAATCTTTATTTCATAGATAAGCATTAGTACACTTGAAATCGTCACAATGGTTAAACTCTACCGCTCATTCGTAAGGCAGATTCCCCTGAGAAGAATGAGCAAGAAACTCTAGTTGCTCTTTGTAAATAACATTTACAATATTTTTTTTTATTTGAAACATCAGAGATCGAGACTACCTCCATGAGCTAAACGGGTTACTACCACGGATTTTTGTCATCCACGTACGCAGAAGTTGTTTAATAACCTTTAGTATAAAGTTTTTGTTTCGCTATAGTTTTAAACCTCGTGAAAGGCAAATTTTGTATATCAACCGGAATCTTGTTATAGACGCGTATACTTTGCCCCTTAAATGATTTTTTGACTTTGTGAAGACGACTATCAAGAACAGCTAGTTTATTTTTATTCCTCGTATTAATGTTATGTCTGTCACTATTTTTCATAAAGGAATTACTATTCCTTTTAACATAAATTACATTTTCATAAATGTACTGTGAGGCTAGTGTAAGAATGTTAATTTCCTTAAACTTACCTATCTCTCAAAGATACTCTGGGGCCCAGATTGTAAATTGCCCTAACCGCACGTTTCTGCAGGCCCAAGATTTTATTGATATCGGCGGCATTACCCCAAAGCAAAATGCCGTGCTGCATTGAAACACACGTCAAAGTGTAAAGTGTTGTAGAACTTTTGGAGCTCTGACTAAATTTATAACTTACCACTTTATTCTGCAGTATGTGCTGGAAGATGTCAAGTGTGATGACCCCGCTGCCACAAAGGACGTACGCCACGCTCTCCACCTGTTCCACGAAATCGATTTGCTTGTCGTCTCTGTTGACATAACAATAAACAAGAATAAAATACAAATAAAAAATGCTGAGATAGATACTACATCACACCTGCTAAGATCACAGACCTCCCAGGACTTGAAGTTGAGTGAACCTCTAGAGTAGGGCGTCCAACCTATCGCCTATCATCTTAAGAATTTTGTTTGAATTCCCCCGCAATTTGGGCAGACAGGGCAATTGGTATATCAAGAAACGTACAAAAAGTACTAGGGTTTTTTTGTCGTAAATCTATGTAATTTTGAAACGAAACGGGACTGGAACAAAAAGGGTGTAGTTTTTTGTTTTGTTTGTTGAGGTTTGTTGCCTCTTAATAAGTTACAAGTTCAGATGTGTCACTACTAAAATTTAATATTAGTATTAAATATTTTAATATTATGATTAATAGAGGCGGTAACCTAATGAAAAGTTAACGGTTTGGGTTCCTGCAGCGACGTTTTGGTACACGGCACCAAACGTACTACCAGTACCAAACGGCATTCATCGACAAAATTCTAAAACCTCTCCTTAAAGGACCCCCGTGTCCAACAGTGGGACGGCTACTTAGTAATAATAACGCGCACACTCATAGCCCCACTCTAGGGAAACCCTGCGTCGCGGGTGCCATGGATACACACATTGACAACTACAAATTACATCCAAATTCACGAGAGATAAATTTACGCCTTACAAATATTTCTACCTGCCCGGGAATCGAACCCGAGACCTCTGCGTGGCTGTCCAGCATGGTAACCGTTTGGCCACGGAGGCAGTGAAATTGCTTTTTACTATTTATTATCTTTCATAATAACCTACCATAGTTCCATTATGATCACAGACATTAAGTTATAGCTCTTAAGTAAAATTCCATTTCACTAAAAAATAGGCGCTTTGTCGTCGAGTTGCGGACACCAGCACCAAGACCCGTTGCACCAAGTACCAAGTAAGTCACTATAGTATTTGTCACAAAATTTTGGTCAAACTTGATAAATAAATTTACATAAATTAATTACTCACGTAATTCTCTCTTTGAGGAACTCGACCCAGTCTTCCTGCACCAAGTGGTCTTGCCTGTCGACGTCGAAAAGTCGGAAGATCCTCTCCAGCAGATCCTGGAAACATCACAACACCAAACTTTCAAATAGAGAGATAAATATGTACATTTTCAATCCATTTCACTGTGATTTCTTTAAACAAACTACGTTTTCATACAGTAATAACTTAGTTTAATTCCTTTGTTAACTTTATTTGTAATTGATCCATACGTGTTATAAACAATTCGAAGTAATTCTACCCTCATTTTTTTTCTTTGACAGGTGCACTTACGTATCGAGTTCTATTGGTTACACATTGAATATAAAACTATTTTTTGGATCAATCGATTGATCTATCACCCGTGACTATAAATTATGACCTGTAAAGGGGACAAATCGATAATTTACTTGAAAAACCAAACATAAGCGATTTGGATACGAAAAAATTGCTTTATTTGAAGGTGCAGTTACTATGAAATTGAAAACCCATTATGTAAGGACTTGGTTTTTTTTTAATTCTCATGTGAAAACCTTTCACACGAGAGGCGGCCATTTTGTAATAAATAAAAGAGCGTCACTAATTTTGAAAAAAACAAACAAGGAATGTCACGATAATGACCAGCATTATTCGTATTTTCGAATGGTCGTAAGTGATTACTTTTCAGCCGATACTCGTATCTTCAATGAAGGGGTTATTTTTGAGTTAGGTATCTTAGACACTGTTTAAATGTGATCATAAGGCTGATTACACACGGCGCCGCGTAACAAAGGTACCTTGGCCGCTGCGGTGCCACAGTTGTAACGCCCTTGCATGTTTACACACCTTCATACACTGCTGCGTGCTGCCTGTAATCAGCCTTATCATTAACCTATTGTCTTCCACTGTTGAGCACGAGTGTCTTATCTTTAGGCTGTTAGCAGGCATTGCTACTAAAAATTCATAAATGTACGTAACCTAGAAATTAAAGCCAGTTTGGCTACATGCCGCTATTGGAATTGAAATTGTTGATCTAAAAGCACCCGTTCTCCCTCTGGACTAACACCAATCTACAAACGAAATATGAAACCCAAAATAGAACAAAATAGAACTAATGATGAATGAGCGTGCTCTCAGACAGAGATGTCAAGATAATGTCCGTTTAATGTTCATTAGGCCGAAACGAGCGGCGGTGAAGTTTATTCCCATCTGATCCCCTCTAAATTTTGCAAATCCTAACGGATTTCCTCACTGTTTTGTAAGGTAACTACAGTCAAGAGAAAAGGAAATTTATTGAGCAATTGTGGTCAAATGTTATAATTATCGCAACAATCAAATTTTTTTGTGGTAAGTAATTAATATTGACATTGCAAGTTACAAGTAACAAAAATAAGTCTTAAGTAATATTTACAATCTAAGTTTAATGTTTTAATTGTCACAGACATAATACGCTAAATAAAATACAGTACAACCATCAAATATATTTTCTTGTTGACTGTATCACAGTACCTACCAAAAATAAACTTGTAAGTGCCAGGGTATCAGGTGGGAATAAAATATTAATATTTATTGTTGAGCCCCTGCATTAGAAATCTGATGCAATAGAAAAAAATATGAAATAAAACGGATCCCCCAAGGGATCAACTGGGAATAACCCGGCGGTGGGGTTAACGAGGCGTAGGTGACGCGCGACCGTGTTAAATCATTTGTCGGATTTGAGACGGACTGTGTTGAGATACGTGAAGTGTTTATTCGATTAAATTAACTCTGTTCCGCTTGACGCCAAATTTATATAGGAAGTGAATTTTTGTTACCATAATGTAAAAAGCCGTGATAACTGGCTACCTAAAAGGAAAGAGAGCGTCGTAGGTTCGAATCCGGACATGCATCTTGAATTTTTCGAGAGTTATGTGCGTAATATCAACTGCCTTCGTGGCTGAACTGTTGCCACGCTGGACTACCATGCAGAGGTCCTGAGTTCGATTTCCGAGCCGGGAGGAATAATTATACGGCCTACGTTGCGGGGCCATAAGCGAAAATTAACCATGAGCATTTCGGTGAAGGTGAACATTATAATAAAACCTGTACGCCGAAGAAGGTTCACAGCGGTCGGAAAACCTGTGAAGTCCCTAACGTTGGGCCAGCGTGGCGGACTATGAGAGAGTATACCAGTGCCCAACAGTGGGACGTAAATTAAGTATGGACCTCTCAGTTGGATAACATACGCTCCCCCACTGGGCTTCCACTCTTAGAAGCAATTAATAATTAATATAACATGCAAACAGGCGTTACGTAACCGCCATTTCACTGTCTATTAACAATCAAGTGACAGCTGCGACACCTCTTGACCACAAAATCATTTGAACTTTCTATTTGCTTAACCGACGAATAAAATTTCAAATTGAGCCTATTTGCTTTTAATTGAGAACTTCAGTTAATTTGATTGTGTATTCGGCATCTTGTAATTTTTTTTTATTAAAACCACTCGATACTTTTTTACAGGTGTCGTAATCAGCGGCTATGGGAAATATCCAGGAGATGGGCTACAACGGTTCTCAACGTTCTCCTTCCTCGAAAAGATCCATGACAAAAAGTCTTTTAATGTTGATAATTTTCTTACCTAGCAAAATGTCATTAAAGATTTCTTCGGAAACCTAAATTCCAATATATAACTAAACACTACACTCTTAGGGCACAGCTTAGGTCATACTAACACGGATCTAGACCTAGGACATGTACAACATATTATTATAACGTGTGCATAATTTCAGTATTATCAAGGTGGGAGATAATTTTATAGAGCCAATAAAGCTTTTAAGGCTCCTTTCGCCTTAATTCTTATCACTATCATTACTTATCATCATCATAACAATATCACTATCACTAGAATATGATCCGTAATACAACCAGAGCCCGGTGGCTCTGGTTGTATTACGGATCAGAAACAGAAACAGCGCCATCACGCCATCATCAAACCGAAGTACAGATGAATTGTGTTTCATCAGCCAATAGTGTTGTGTTATTATGACGCGGCTGCGTTGATTGGTTGAAATAAAGAAATGCTATTGGTTAATGAAACAAAGCTCTTCTCCATTATAGTTTGGTAAGTTATAAGGATAAATACAAGATCCAAAGGGATTCGAGACGTTCACTTCTGAAATTGAGAAACAAACGTTCTTTTTTATGACATATAGTACGCATTTGACTTTTATCTCACCTGATGGGAAGTGACGGTTAGGTCGACGACGGAGCATGCACGCCTAAATAATGCCTATTCACTCTCGCCTAAAAGGTCTAAGTTATACCGTTCAGGGAACAAGTCTGCAGGGAATTCCACTCCATAGCCGTTTGCCATATAAATGTGGAAACTTAACGCTTCGTGCCTTGGAATTTTAACAACATAAGGGGTGGAACCCAAGTCTACATCTAGCCGTTCTTTCACTGGGCTTTCATTAAGTAACCTAATCAACTTTAAATAAAAAAATCACACTTAAACATAACTTCTTTTTAATCTTTCAAATAAGCTCAAGTAACTAAAGAAAGACTTTATAAAATAACTCAACACGTATTATGATTTCATCATCTACAAAACTTTTCATCTGACATCAGTCACGCGTATAGAGAACCTTATAATAATCGTTACACACGACCCAATTAGTCGGCCGATAAATGATAGCTGTTAGCATAATCGCTTTAAACGTATCGGGGCTAGAAATGTGCCTCCAGCGACCTCTATGTGTTCAACGTGGGTTATACATACCGACGTGAAGGTTGGTGAACCTTATAATTATTGAGCATGTTCGAAATGTTCTGAGTAAGTAACTATGTTCGTGAATTTGTCTTATTATACACAACGGAATCAGAATGAGTACAGATGGAGCATCACAATAAAATCGACTTAAGAATGTAGTGATGTCCCCTCAGCACCGGCTGTTCCTTAAGTCGTCTTCACAAAGTCATAATTATGTTTACTGTGCTATAAACGTGCTTCTGTAATGTGATTCTTGTTGATATTCAATATCTTCATTTACGATGTTTAAAATAATGGTGAAACAAAAACTTTTCTCTAAAAGTTAACGCAGTTTTTGCGTATTTAATCGACAATATCTATAAGAATAAGTTTAGCACTTACCACGTGTTTCTGCCTATGACTTTTAAAACAAATTTTCTAATTGATTATGCGAGCAAATGTGAATTTATATATTTTTCTCAAGGGTCTCTACCTGCTTTTGTAAATTATGTCTGCTCCTATGAAATAAATTTAGATTTTTAAAAAAAACTGGAATTGACCAGTGCTACAGTTCAAAGGTTTTCAATAATTTTCAGTCGAACTTTTGAATTTCATTTAAAAGGGGCAACACTAACCTGAAAAGACATAACTTCAATGCTTTGCGTCAATGTATCCACGTTGGCTGTTATAACGTCTATTAACATAAACATTAATCAATGTATGTAGTTTTAGTAGGTACCGCTAGATGGCGTGGAACCATTTTTATGTTTATCTAAAACACGCATGTTGTTATTGAAATTGTATTAATTGTCGAGTGATTTATTTTAGAACTTTGCTATGAATCTAACGCTTTATCACAGTCGGTTCGAAACTAAAGCTTAGTCAAGGGTTCTTCAGTGTGGCATGTGTATTATAAATTTAAAATATAACCAGATAAGGCGATTAACACACTGCACCGCGCCCCGCGACGGAGCGCGGAGCTGCGTTTTTTAACGTTGTACTGAAGTAACTCAGTTTGTGTGGAAAACACACGCCGTTGAACACACTGACGACTCTTCTCCGCGCGGTTTTACCGCGCCCCCGCGCGGAGGGGCGCGGCGAACCGCACGGAATGGCACACTGTACTCCACCCTACCGCGCAGATTTTTAATCAATTTGTGTCTTATTCCAGTAATTGTCATTCGGACGTTCCCTAACAAATAATCAAAGGATTTTATCTCCATATTTTCTTAAATCTTTGTAATGAAGTTGAAGAATGTTATCTTCGGTGTCTTTTTATTTGAGTAAACAAAAACAATCGACAGTATAACTGCAGCGTCCGGAATGAGTTCTGTATTATTAACCATTCTTGTCAAAGAAGGATATTAGCTA